CTTTCTTTTCTTTCTTTCTTTCTTTCTTTTTTTTTTTTTTGTACTGGGGATCAAACATGGGTCCTTGCGCTTGAGAGGCAGGCGATGGAACCACTGAGCTAAATCCCTGGCCCCAATCATCTCCTTTCTAGGGAAGCAAGGGGGAAGTTCTTCTAACTTCAAAACAGTAAATCATTGCCACTTTTTAACCAAAGGGTTACTGGCATGGCAAATATCCAGCTTCACTGTATTCATTCTAAGAGAGCAGATGGAACAGTTCAATTGAATAGTTTCAACAAGGGAAGATGTCTGTTTACTATTATTTTATGTGCTTTTCTGGGGAGAGCCCATCATTTTGAGTCAGATGGCCCAAGGGGAAGATGATCTAAAAATGTTAAGAACCCTTGAGATGATCCAGGAGCCCTAATTCCTAGCCCCACACTCAAGCTTTACAGAATATTAGGATAGTGCGATGCAACGCAGCTGTGGCCAGAAGGAAAGTACATGTCAGACTTCCCCACTTTTCTGACCCCTTGGGTCCCATCATTCCCTTCCTCCAAGAGAGTTAAAAACCCTGTGTCGGGTGCCCCAGACTGCAGTGTGGTGTTCTAAATGGCAGAAGAGGCAGGAAGTGGTTTTTAGTGGCATAGGATAGGAGAGTTAGAGCTGGTAGCTGAGGGTGAGCTGGTTGGCCCCTAAAGGGAGTTCTCACCCGTAGGTCCCCAGTTCCTGGGAAGTACTCTCCATACTTATGAAAGGACACAGTCATGACCCGGTCTGTGGTATAGAAGGCCTCTTCCACGCCATCGCCATGGTGAATATCAATGTCAATATACAGCACTCTCTGGTGATACCTAGGATCAGAAGGGCGTCAGGGGTCTGGGGGCTCTTTAGGGATGGGACGCGCCAAGGGCGCCAGGTCCCAGCTTACCGGGCTGGCTGCCTCCCTCAGGTATCTCTAAGCACCAGAGACGTGGAAACTGGCTGAAGGAAGGTGGAAGAGCGGCAGGGTGTCTCCAGAGGCCTGACCAAGCCGACCAAGTCCGATCTTCCTACTCTATAGCCAGGGTCAACTCCGGCCACACAGGGACACTCTGGAGGCAGGATCTGAGCAGCGCCTGCCCCTGATCTTTCCGTGGGCTCAGATCAAACCAAGACCGCCAGAGACACTCACTGAACACATCCTAGCCAGCACATCGTAGGAAAAGCAAACTAGGGAGGCAAGCCCATGGGGAGAGGAAAGTGGGAACCTGGCCTAAAGTGCTCCTCCAAAGGACAAGGCCAGGCAGGCATACTTTAGCAGTTCCAGGATGGCCAAGACGATATCATTGACGTAACAGAAGCCAGATGCCTCGGACTTCTTTGCGTGGTGCAGGCCCCCAGCCCAATTCACAGCGATGTCCGTCTGCTGCTTATTAAGTTTCACAGCACTTGCTGGGCATGGGAAGAGAGAACATAAGCCTGTTACTAAGCCACTCTCCCCTGCCCCCAAGAAGCCCAAAGAACCCAGAGAGAGGTAAGACTTGTCTATTCAACAGCTGTATTGTCCACTTACAAGAAACCTTGCTCCCTCCCACCCTATCCCAACAGGGAATAAACATGATACTGGCTATTCTTGAAAAACTATTTCCCAAACCAAGGATGATAACCCATTAGTAGGTCTTAAAATTGATTTAGTGGGTCACGCTTGTGTGTGTAAAGCAAAATAGAGTAGAATAAAAATATCTGAGTAATAGTACGGGTAACTGGCCTTCTCCAAAGACACTGACTTAAAAAATGCATGTTTATGTGTGTGTAAAACACACACTCATATGTCCTGAGTTGCACGTGTAAAAATATTTTTTACTATGATTCCCTGTTAAAAATTTTGGGAAAGGAAAAAAAAAATTGCGGGGGAAAGGTCTGGGGATGTAGCTCAGTGGTTCCATCACCTGCTTCATAAATGCAAGGTCCCGTTCGATCCCCAGTACCAAAA